AAAATAGCCTAAAAACGCTAGAAATGCGAAATTTCGACCAAAATTCGAAAAATAAAAGGGGGGGGGGTGGTGTTTTTTGTCAAAAATTTCAAAATCACCCGATTCTGATAAAAATTGACATGACGACCCAAAATGGGTTGAAAATCAATATTTCGAAGAAAAATTCCGAAAAAATCGATATTTGTAATAATTTTTTTTTTGAAATTTCAACTTTTTTTCGTAAAATTTTACACCGAGATAAATTGGCTCGAAGCTGGCTTACGGTATTTCCAAAAGATCCCTAAGCGAAGTAGCTGATAACACGGCGAATTTTATCATTTTAGGATTTTTATCATTTTGGATGTTCTTTGTACAGATCCAACGTCTTCTCAGAATCTTCCTTGGTTCGGAATCATGTGAGTGATACTGTAGTCTGCTACTCAGTCAGAGGATATTTCCTTATCATTAAAGGTTCCTTATCATGTGGATGATACCGTAGTCAGCAGCTATGCGGTCAGGGATTCTCGGAAAGAAGAGGAAATCGCTAGATCTCACGGAAGAGACTTCTAACCGTGTAGCTGTTCATGTGAAGATCACAAGGAACATACTGATCAGCCACTGATAAGATCAGTGAGACCAAAATGTTGATGGGGGGTGCGTGCGAAAATTCAGGTGACCTTTACCAAGAGAATCACCCTCCACTAACAAGGAACTCTGTTTACACGCTCTACCGTACTCCATGAGTCTTAATATCCCAAATATCCCCTGTTTTATGAGTGAAAAATGGTCCCAAAAATCTAATCTTCCAGATAACAGTACCCCCCCCCCTTACACGCTCTACCGTAATCCATGGGTCTAAAAGGTCTTAAAATCCTAAACTTCCAGGAATTCCGAGGCTCAAAATCACGCCTTTTTTGCCATTTTTTTTCATAATTTCGAGACCTACAGTACCCCACACCCTGCACATCAAACTGTGATGCTTTTTTTTTCCTTTGCTAATCCCTCTTTTCTCATTTTTCCCTTTTTTCCCCCAAGAAAGCCCAAAACCGGAGAGCAGCACATCAACAACCAGCCAGCCAGCAATTTCTGCGTCTCTTTCTCTCTCTCACTCTCTCTCTCTCTATTTGTCAGCATTTTGCTGTCTGCGTCTCTCGCTCTCTCGTCTCTCTCTCGTGAATTTTCTTTTTTGCAATGCTAGAGATCATCAAGACGTCGTGAAGACGTGATGATGACTTTGATGATGTGATTCGAGAAGGATTACTGTAGGTAGTGAAAGACCAACGAAACAAGGAATACTGGTCAGAAATAGGGCTAAAAATAGTCTGAAAAAGGCCAGAATTGGACTTGAAATCGCTGGATTCAGCCTGAAAATGACCCAAAATAGCCTAAAAACGGTCTAAAATGGCCCAAACTAGCCTAGAATCCCCATAAAAATGGTACTGACCTCAAATAGGCTGAAAATCGAAATTTCGAAAACTTCAATTTTCAAATTTTTTGAAACTTTCTCTCAGATTCTTCATTTTCAGCCAATTTCGGGTCTTCATATCAATTTTTATCAGAATCGGACGATTTTGAAATTTTTTGAAAAAATTTTTTTTTTCAAAAATTGTCAATTTCGCTCAAAATTGCCCAATTTTTTCAAAATTTTCGGCAAACTGTACCTGATCAATTAGCGAAAAATCCAAGTTAGTCATCAATTTCTCGTTTACAGTAACATTTTCGTGTGGGTGCTTCGCGTCGTAGAATGGATGCATACCGGAGAGAAACGCGGACAGGGCGATGCCAGCTGGACCATTTCCTGGAAAATGAAAATTTTGCGATTACTTTCGTTAGCTGGGCTACTGTAGCTAGAGTGAAAAAGCTATTTTTGTGAAAATTCGGGAGATTTTAGGCCATTTTTACCCTATTTTGGGGGATTATGAAAAATTCGAAAATTTTGACTTTTTCAAAAATCGATTTTTTCGAAATTTTTTCTTAGATTCTTGATTATCAGCCAATTTCAGCTCGTGATATCAATTTTTATCAATATTGGACTATTTTGAATTTTTCGAAAAAAAATCCCAAAATTTCAAAAATTTTTTTTTTCAAAAATCGATTTTTTCGAAATTTCTTTCCATATTCGTTATTTTCAGCCAATTTCAGCTCGTGACATCAATTTTTATCAAAATTGGACTATTTTGAAATTTTGCGCAGAAAAACCACCCCCCCCCCTTATTTTTTGAGTTTTGGCTCAAAATTCGTTTTTCAGCGTTTTTGGGCTATTTTATGTCGATTGTTGCAAATTTCAAGCTAGTTTTTGGCTATTAAGGCTAGCTAAGGCTCATTTTCAGCTAGTTTAAGCCATTCAGATGATTTTTGAAATCTTTTGACTAAAAACACCACCCCTCACCCGTTCAAACTCTAAACTCCTCTCTATGCTTTTCTATTTGTTGAAAACGAAAGAAAAAGTTCCAGATCAAAAATAGACGGCAAAAAAATGTGAAATTTGAGAAATTTCTAGAAATTCGACACTTTTCGAAAAAAGGTCACTTTTTTCAAAAAAGTTCCAAACATTACATCATTGAGATAATTCTAAAATTTCAAAATAAGACAATAACAACATTGAACACCAATTTTCAGCAAAATTTGAGATTTTTGAAAATTTGGAAAAAGTGAAATTTTTCAAAAATTTCAAAATCGCCCAATTTTGATAAAAATTGATATCACGACATGAAATTGGCTGAAAATCAGGAATCTGTAAAAACATTCCGAAAAAATCGATTTTTCAAAAAAAAAATGTTTTTTGAAATTTTCAGAATTTTTGGAAAATTTCAAAATCATCCAATTCTGATAAAAATTGATATCACGACATGAAATTGGCTGAAAATCAAGAATCTGTGAAAAAAATTTAAAAAATCAAAAATTTGAGAAAATTTTTTTTTGAAATTTTCCAAAAAAATTTTTTTTGGATTTTCAGATTTTTCAGATGTTTTTTTTCTGAAATTTCCCAGCACAAACCTATGATAAGGACTTCCGTATCGAATTTCGTCGAATTTTGTGAAGAACAACACGCCGAATGGGACAGCATACGTGCTTTTTTCGCCAGACGGCACAGCCAAGTGGTCCGGGTGGTGGTGGTGATCCGGCGGGAATTTGAATTTTTGAACAGCGGGGAGCTGAAAAAAATTACAAGATATGAAAAAATTTTGTAAAATAGCAGAAAATACGAAAAAATTGTTTTAAAAAATTTTTTTTGGGCTGAAAATTTCAAAATGGTCCAATTCTGATTAAAATTGATACCACGAGCTGAAACGGGCTGAAAATGAGAATTCTGGAAAAAATTCAAAAAAAATCGAAATTTGAAAAAAAAATTTTTT